GGGCACTCAGACAATCCCAGAAATCCACTCCAGTGCTGGGAGGCTTATACACGGAACTGACAATAAACTTCTCAGCTCTTGTGTCCTTTCCCTGACGGACTAAAATGTGGAGAGCTTCAAGCTCAGGGTGGCTACTAGCATGTACTACTGTTGCCTTCAGACTGGATGAAACATACAGACAGACACCACCACCATGAAGGGAACGGTCCTTCCTGTAAATACTGTATCCAGGGATATGGAGCAAGTGGTCGCTGACACTGCCATCCAGATGAGTTTCATTGATAGATAATATATGGATCTCATTGTCATGCAGTATTTCGTGGATTTGCTGAATTTTATGGCGCAGGCTACGAACGTTCAAATGGGCAATTGTTAAGCTAGGGTTCCCAGGAATGTCCTATGGCTGAGAGCTCGATGCAGGAGCAGGTAGATTGTCGAGTGCTAGTGGGACACCCTTCTCATCAAGAATGACATCATACGGGAGTTGGCATTTGACATCCTTACTTCTCAGATGTTTGTACTGTGGTAGTACTGTCTTCCTTTTTTGCAGCTGTTTTCGGGTAAGATCGTTGGAGAAGTATACAGGTGAGCCATCATCGAGTTTCAGGTCAAATCTCCTGCGATAAATTTCGCCTTTGATGGCATTCTTCTGGAACTTGATCCGTATTGGACGCGATTGTGTGCCCGTAGTACGCGCCGTGCCAAGCCTTTCCGTGGAAGATAAGGCGGTTTGGTCGACCCTCAGGGCTCTCGAGCAGATTTCCTCTAGTTTTTCCCCATCCATATCGGGAATTCCACGTACGATAGCGTACTGCTTCCGGTTTAGTCGCTCAGCTTCCTCTTGAATCAGAGCGGAAATATCAGGTGGAGCTAGTACTGTCGCTGTGGGTACGGGTGCGGGTACGGGACTGCCTTCAAGTGCAGCAAGTCGTTGTTCGAAAGATGACAGGGTCTTCTTCATCACGTCATACTCCTCCATGACCTTCTCCATCCTTGTCAGCACATCATCCATGAAACGATTGAGGGTCTCCTTACTGGCCGTCTGCTCGTTGCGAATTTCCTTCAGCATATGAGAAATCCGGGTTTGACGTTGGATTTTTCTTCAACCATCATTATCATAGATTTTCAATAAAGTTCTTTGATACAACAGCAACAGAAACAGCAGCAACAACAGCAGCAACAACAGCAGCAACAACAGCAGCAACGACAGCGACAACGACAGCGACAACGACAGCGACAGCGACAGCGACAGCGACAACGACAGCGACAGCGACAGCGACAGCGACAGCGACAGCGACAGCGACAGCGACAGCGACAACGACAGCGACAGCGACAGCGACAGCGACAACAACAGCGACAACAACAGCGACAACAACAGCGACAACAACAGCGACAACAACAACAACAACAACAACAACAACAACAACAACAACAACAACAACAACAACAACAACAACAACAACAACAGCAACAGCAACAGCAACAGCAACAGCAACAGCAACAGCAACAGCAACAGCAACAGCAACAGCAACAGCAACAGCAACAGCAACAGCAACAGCAACAGCAACAGCAACAGCAACAGCAACAGCAACAGCAACAGCAACAGCAACAGCAACAGCAACAGCAACAGCAACAGCAACAGCAACAGCAACAGCAACAGCAACAGCAACAGCAACAGCAACAGCAACAGCAACAGCAACAGCAACAGCAACAGCAACAGCAACAGCAACAGCAACAGCAACAGCAACAGCAACAGCAACAGCAACAGCAACAGCAACAGCAACAGCAACAGCAACAGCAACAGCAACAGCAACAGCAACAGCAACAGCAACAGCAACAGCAACAGCAACAGCAACAGCAACAGCAACAGCAACAGCAACAGCAACAGCAACAGCAACAGCAACAGCAACAGCAACAGCAACAGCAACAACAACAACAACAACAACAACAACAACAACAACAACAACAACAACAACAACAACAACAACAACAACAACAACAACAACAACAACAACAACAACAACAACAACAACAACAGCAACAGCAACAACTACAACAACAACTACTACTACTACTACCACTACTACTTGGGAACGGGTTTTTTCACAACACCATGAAGGAAGAGTCAAAGCAAAAAGACAACCCAATTTCGGAAATAAATAGAACACTCAATACTCAATTAAATTATATTATATAATTGAACGCAAAAGCTTCACAAGAAAGCGTTACCTATTAAAAAATACCCACCGGCATCCAAAAGCGAACGGTCACGCCTCTGCCCGTGTCAGCAGTGTCAGCAGAGCCGGCGGCAATAAGCTGCAATTGGGCTCCCGACCCTGCGGCGAATGTAGGAGGCCCTGCAGCCCCTAAAGGACGTGACTGCCCATCGCAGCAGGCAAAATGAAACCCGGGTGCGTAACTCACCCATCACAGCAGAATATACCAAGTCTTTGTTTTTGTCTACAACGAGAGCAGCTAGCGACTTCAGAAATATAGCAGTTTCCTTGCCCGCCACACCGAGGTCGAAAACACCAGTGGGGTGAATGATGCCCTCTCCACCTGGTTGACTCTGGCACCATACGCCGCCTTCTTCATTCTCTCATGTGTTCTCAGGTGGCTAAGGATTTCCGGCCGAGACAGCAAGGACGGCCCAAGGTCAGTGACCCTTACATCAAAAAAGGCGTCCTGCTGCCGCGACCAGAAACCCCTAGCCCGTATGTCCAGGCGTGCCTCTGGCTGAAGATTAGCGGAGGCGGCAGAGATTTCCTCACCGTGTAGCGGGAGCAGGCGTGGCTCGATCTCAACATCGGGCAGTACCTCCTGCAGTACGCCCGCCAGGAGGTCCTGAAGCTCGTTATGGCGAGCCGACGGATAGCCGCCGGTCGGGCACGTGAGGGCGTGGTGTGTGGTCATGGACTTCCCACAGACACAATGATCACTTACACCGTCCAGTGGGAGACCATATCGTATGCATAGCGCATTTCTAAAATCCGACTTCTTCAGCACGGTGCGGTTTGTCCAGGACGGCTGTGCTGTTAACCATGTTGAGACGCCTTTCTCATCCGCTACTGCGAGCAGCTGCCGCTGGACCGGTAAAAGGCTAGGGGAAAAGCCCCTCAGCCAGCTCTGTCTGCATCTGCTGGCATCCACCGATTTGTTCCTGGCGCTTTTGTCGGGCGATGCCTCGTGCCTCGCCAACGGCTTCTAGAACCGGATTGGCCATGCCCTCTGCGATGGCCACCATGCTCTGCGTGTTTTGGTCGGGACTGATGGCTGGAGAGTCTCGGACGCTCACGTTACGGTGGGCGTCGATCAGGTTCACCATTGACGCCGTGATGGCAAGTGATGCTTGATGGTCTGCCTATGACTTTGCTACCATAGGGATAGCCAGGCCCCCGAATCTTGTCGGGAGGGACAGAAGCTTTCTCAGCGAGCTGTCAGCTGCCATTCCCTGGCCCAAAAGGGCAGGAAGAAAATGATAATCCAATGCCTCATCTAGAGGGGCCAGGGTGACGGAGTTTATCGACGAGGCTCTCAAATGATAGGACCATTTGGACGATAAGCCCTTTGTTAGCACAGTGTAGGCGGCCTGGGGTTGCATTTCGGCCATTGCAGTGAGATTCATCAGCTCCCGTCGCCAGTTGTTGACGTACAGTGGCTGGCTACTACTACTACTGCCACTACTACATGGACTCCTGCCGAGGATGGACTCGACGCATTCCACCGCGGCCAGCTCCGTTCACTGATCGGCTTCGTCTGGCCTCAGAAGATCGCAACAACAGCACTCTACGACAGGTGCAAGGCAGAGCCGATCAGCCGCATCATCACCAGAGCTCGGTGGAGGCTATTTGGCCATATCCTTCGACTTCCCAGTGATGCCCCGCCGTACTAAGCATGGTCAGCTACTTTGAATGTGATGACCACAAGTGGAGAGGCCGCCCTCGCATCACCCTGCCGGTGAAGCTCGACGACGACCTCAACGGAGCTGCGTGCGGGCGATTGCAGAGGCTGGAAGATCTGGAGCATCTATCAGACGTAGCTGCATTTCGAAGCGAATGGAGGCAGCTACTGGATATGATCTGCGAGTAGAGGTTTCGGCGATGAAACCGCTCTGTCACCTTTTTCCCAGATCACGGAAATATCGCTCAATACACTTTAAAAATTCTATACACAAAGGATTTACAGCTACGTTTGTGCTTGTTGTCTTTATGGCTCCTATATCAACTGCTTCTCTTACCATGTCCAGCATAAGCGAACGTGTGGACTGCGGTTGTGCATGGGTGATTTGCACTTGCACTGTTGACGCTGCCGCGGGAATGCATTATAATAATAATGTACTACAACTATCTCTTATTGGCCACAGGCCGTGGCCATGGTGAGAATAAAGATGGCCCTAAAATCATCATTAATTTATACTCATGCATGTCGACTTATTATTTATTTAGGGGTCGTCCGTATTTTTTGAAAAATTAAAAAATCCGTCCTCAGGCAAAAAGAGGGTGGGTGGTCAAGAGTGCTGGCGGAATTTAATTTTTTGATTTTTCGTACTTTTTTTTTTTTTTTTTTTTTTTTTTTTTTGCTCCAGTGACTTTTATGATCATGTACACTTGTTGCACTGAGCTGACTGTGTACTGTACTGTAGACGTAGTGTAGGATCGATTGTCGCAAACACCAGTATCTACTATGATGACTTTTCATGTAGTTGTAGGACGGTGCATGGCCGTGACCTCGGTAGACCTACTACTCACTGTACTTAGCTACTAGTACTTGACACAGGTGCAGTCAATCAACATGGGGTCAGGATTTCTTATTAATTTTTCGAGCTGGGCATCGGTAAAAATCAAAAAATAATGGAAAAAAATGGGGGGTGGGTGGGTGGGTCAGAGACAATTTTGCACGAGGACGGATTTTTTAATTTTTCGAAAATTACGGACGACCCCTTACAAGTATTAATCGACGAAGAGGAAAAATGTACCAACAAAATGCATGATATGGCTTACCAAATGACTTCCACATGAAGTTGGTGTAGAAATTGGGATCATCAGCTCCCATATGCAGCATTACGTGTTTAAAGCCATCCATGACGTAGTCAATCCTCAGCAAATCTTATAACGGGTCAACTAAGTAGAGCCAACGGGAAACAACCACATGTGACAGACGTTTCAACGCTTTCGCCAATAAGCTCTCGGCAGTGTAAGAACGGTCAAAATTCCTCTGGGACCAACACCTGCAAGTCTTATGATAATCAGCTCGTCTGGGTCACGTGGGTTTGGTACGTTGTCTGGTGGCATACAATTAGGGTCCGGCGGATTCTGCGGCAGAAAAATTGGCAGAATTCGGTACTTTTTCTGGTAAGTTTCATGAATGTTTGGTATGTGGATAAAGAAATGGAGCAGAATCCGAGGAATTGCCCGCCATAAGGTTTGTATGGTTCTGCCAATTTCACTGCTTTTCGAGCAGAATCTACCACCTTTTGGAGCAGAATCCGCCGGTCCCTACATACAATACCTGATGGGGTACAGTATACGAGGTATAGACAAACGAAAAGTCCGATTTATTATACATGTAATACGATTATTACAATGCGCCCAGTCATCTTGTAGATCTACACACATGTACACTCATTTTTTGCTATTCAGTCACGTGGGTCTAACTGAAAATCAGCACAAAGAACCGTTCTTAGAATGATCAAACCATTGGAATGATGACCAGTGTGTAAAGATGCATGTACATGCACGATGTCGTGTACATGTGCATGTGCATGTACATGACATCGTGCATGTACATGCACATGCACGATGTCATGTACAGTCAAATCTGTCGTAAGCGACCGCCCCTTGGTGCAAGAAAAAGCGGTCGCTTTCGGCAGATGGTCCCTTACTCCTTAAGGGCGCGTTCAGACTGGCGTAAAAAACAAGCGGAATGTGAAAGTTGTCAAGGTGAATCGCTCACGTGACGTTCCCGCCAGCGTAAACACGGAAAAGGTTTCCCACCACTCTGCAGGCCAGTGGAATGCAGATTCCGGCGGAACGCGGCGCTTTTGATATCCTTGCAGCACATGTTCCGTCTTTTCGTTTTATTTCAGCTTCTACTCTTGCAGTCTGACTGCATGCTTTTGAGTTTTGAGTTTTGACTTCTAGACTGCCAACTTCTCCCATCATGCCGAAATCTTTGTTCGATTCAGCAATGCAGAGGGAGTTCATGGAGCTGTACGTGGTGATTTTTGCGGGCCGCTCTGCAGCCAGTGCAGGCAAAACGTTACTGCGAACGAGAAGCATACTCTGATCGCGAAACGGATGAATGCCACGCAAGCACCAAACACTCCGGACATAGTATTCTTTCCGTCGACAAGCACAAGCAAAAGCACAATGATCCAGTATCTCAACAGACTGAATTAGTTTATTTTGATATCCAACTCAAACTGAGTCAACTCAAGTTTTTCAAATGTCGAAGCTTCACATGTACTGGCCATTCCAGCGGGATACACGTGCAGTGTGATTGCGATTCCCGGGATTACGCTGCAGCTTTCCGGCGGCTATTCACGCCAGTCTGAACGCGCCCTAACGCGCCCTAATTACGGCAGATGTATGGTAAATCCGGCATACCAGGTATATGCTTCCATGTACTCAAATCGACGAGAATAATGTTATTTTTAATAATTTTATTGGATATTCAACGACGACCATACCCATAGTACGCGTATGCGACACGACAGTAGATCGACACTGCCTGGACTTGAGAGCTACAGCACAGCCTCAGTACAGGCCAGGCGCCAGTCGATCGCACTTGCCATTCAATTGCGTATCTTGGTGCTGACAGGTGGAATGCGCTGCCTCCATCTTGTCGCCTGGCCGAGTCGCCTGCTTTGTTTCGCGCTCACACAAAGTCTCATTTAGGGTTCCCAGTAAAAAGGCAACATTGCCTGTTGGGAAATCCCTAACAAAATAAGAAAAAATAATAATAATAATAATAATAACTTGCAAGACAGCGCATTTTCACACTTTGCAGTTGACAGCGCACTGGCAAGTACAGTTTCGCACCTTACTGAACCTGGGTCGCGGTCGCTTACAGTTACAGCAGATTTGAATGCAGCCACCGTACCGTGCATGAAATCGCGGTCGCTGGTCGCGCACAGCAGATGGTCGCTCTGGACAGATCAGTTTGTATGTGAAACCGTCGCTGCACGGAAAATCGGTCGCTAACGGTAGATGGTCGCCCTCAGCAGAGGTCGCTAACGGCAGATTCGACTGTACATGTACATGTACATGCATTAATCCCATGTACAATGTCCATATACATGACTACTGCCCACATTGTCTATTTTCATAGCTGATCTTTTAAACATTTCTGAATTTTGCGCCTTCGTCGATTTTTCATCTATTTTGTTGTTGGAACTCATGTTTTGACAACCAATCATTAGGCAAATTTAACTCTGATACCGAGCCAATAAATGTAATCAAAATAGAGGAAATCACATGGAAACGAGTTATGAAGCAACTATCCACGACGTCTTTATCCACTGACGATGTTGTTCAGAACAACGAAACGTCTGGAGAAGTATCGTAAAAATTTCTATCGTTATTAAATGTTATCAAATATACCACTCTTTGGTCTAGAAAGAATACTTTTTGATATTACAATGAGAGTGAATAATCAACGGCTTGTCCACCAACTCTTATCCACGACTGTAACAAGATAAAAAGACAGTCAGAACGTGCGATAACAAGGCACAAAACTGACATGTTGCTGAGACATTCAACGACCTGAGACCTAGCTCTCACATACCTGCAGTGCGCAAACCAACAGCCTTCCAGTTTGGAAGGTTCAAGGTTATGGCCGGACCAATGAGGGGAAGGTGAGCGCAGCGAAAATGTGCACAAGCTAAGTCCCACGGCAGCAAAGAATGCCGACAGTTACAGGATCATGCCGGGACCAGTTTTATATTAAAATAACATGACTGGAGGTGTTTGAGAGCCAGGTCTAAGGTCGTTGAATGTGTCCGTAGCGTGTCAGTTGTGTGCCCTATAACAGGTGTCCTCCACAAATATCAATTTTTTTAGATACGATATTCGTTCGTTTGGGGGGTGGGGGGGGGGGGGTTGGGCCCTGTCCGTCTTGTCTTTGTGAAAAAAAATATCGAACTCTATCTATGGACGGGCACTAGGGACCGGCGGATTCTGCTCGAAAAGGTGGTAGATTCTGCTCGAAAAGGCGGCAGATTCTGCTCGAAAAGCAGTGAAATTGGCAGAACCATACAAACCTTATGGCGGGCAATTCCTCGGATTCTGCTCCATTTCTTTATCCACATACCAAACATTCATGAAACTTACCAGAAAAAGTACCGAATTCTGCCAATTTTTCTGCCGGCAGAATCCGCCGGACCCTAACGGGCACTGTGCAAACTTGTAGTTTATGACCTTCACAAAGTAAACGTCAACCTCTTGAACATAGCCAAGGCAAGGTTGTGCGACCGCGGCAACGTAAATCTACACTGTAGGTTAGGGACCGGCGGATAATGCTCGAAAAGGTGGCAGATTCTGCTCGAAAAGCAGTGAAATTGGCAGAACCATACAAACCTTAGGGCGGGCAATTCCTCGAATTCTGCTTCATTTCTTTATCCACATACCAAACATGCATGAAACTTACCAGAAAAAGTACCGAATTCTGCCAATTTGTCTGCCGGCAGAATCCGCTGGACCCTACTGTAGGTGTATAGTGAATTTAGAGTTGCAGCTGGTCACGTTTCATGTGGAAACTGCACTTCATTAAAAAATATCGATCCTCTACATAAAGAATGTGTATGTTCGTTTTGAGAGGGGAGGGAGTCTGGGGTCTGGGGAGAAATGAACAAAATATCCTCTTGAAAAATATATCGATATTTACGGACGGCCCTAAATAAATATCGCACATTCTGGCTCCCTTAATATTATCTGATACAGTCGCGGATAGTTGCTTCATAACTCGTTTCCATGTGATTTCTTCTATTTTAATAATCATTAGGCAACTGTTTATTTTGCAAATTTATTGTCTAAAATGAATTCCACCTGAGTTAACTTAGCATATCACCCCAAAATTTCATATGGCATTCAATTGACCGTAACTTTGGTGTCTCTCAATGGATTTGAGTGAACCTTTCACCACACACTCCTGCCACTATGCTGGCCCTCTGGACATGATTTAAAAGTTCTTGCGCCTCACTGACAGGCTTTCCAGGCCGGAAAAAACTCAAAATTCCGGCATAGTGCCACGGTGTGCGAGCCACCCAGAAGCCAAAAAATGCATTTACGATTTTTTCACATTTCCTTGCCCATTCTGTCCGTGCGCGGGATCCAAACCTAAAAAAGTCCAGAAGCAGCCATGGGTGGTGGGATAGGGCTACACAACCCACAGCGCTTCAAACCAAATCCAGGATACCCTCAAAAATCGGCAAAGACCACCACTCACGTTCCACTACTGCCTATACCGAATCCTACCTGACTTCTTGACACGACCCAAACTTGCCAAAGTCACTAAATCATCGTCAACTACTATAATCAAGCCACATATCTGCAACGTCACGAGGGTGCTGGCTAGGGAGGGCCCAAATATGCTCAAAAATTTCGCATATTATGCTTTTCGCATATTGGCCACTTGCTTCAAAATATGCTTCGAAATCACACAAAAGCAGAAAAATGCTCAGAATATGCTCGAAATATGCTCGAAATATGAACTGATATCAGTGATAATTATGCGAATTCTTTGCTCCTTGTAGCAAAATACATGTATGCTACATTTGGTACAATATGCTAGATTTGCTACTTTATGCGACCTTGTGTCAAAAGGACCAAAATATGCGAAAATATGCGCAAGCATATTCGGGCCCTCCCTAGTGCTGGCAGAAGTCCTGCTGCGAAGCCCGCCGCCGTGCATGCAGCCCAATACGTGGCTAAAAAACGTGATTTTTTGGACTTTTTTGGACTTGGAGCAAAATTCTGCACACTTTCGCGTGTTTCCATGATACGACCAGTTGCGCACGGTCTGCTCATATTCAAATATAGTGCTGCCAAAAAATGACAGCGTGCAACAAAAAAATCTTTCCTTGCATAGGGAACATTTTCGGCCATAACTCTTGAACGGCTGGTCAGATCGAGACAAAATTTTCAGAGATTTTGCAGCTACTCTTTCAACTGATGTAGCACTGGACATGAATTTACAAATTTGATTTTTTAGGGAATTTTGGGGTGATATGCCACGTTAACGCTACCAAACCAACACCCCACCCCATCATAACGATAGCACCACAAAATCCACCAATATGTCTCCTTACTTAAATACCAGCATGGCCAATAACTTAGCATCCTCATATTGCCTGACGATTGCGTAAGCAAGAAACTCAGAGTAGCGACAACATAGCCTTGAATATCCTTGCTGTTCTGTATAGTACTACGATTATAACTATAATAACACCCTAACTATTATAAGAACTCAGAATGTGAGCCGAGGAAAAACATTGTAACATGGAAATTGTGGGCACAAGTTATGGGATCGAGTACACCAACTGCTTGTAAACCAGATGTTGAACAGTCAGACGTGCACAATCTTGCACAAACTGACAAGGAGTACTGAGACATTCCACGGCATGAAAGTCAGCTTGAGCATTGCTCCATGGTGCTCGCCTTCCCCTCTTTGGAATTAGCACTAATATCCATGAACCTTCCAAGTTGGATGGCCGTTGGTTAGTGCTATCGAGCAGTGCTGACTTTCATGCCGTGGACTGTCTCAGTACTCCTTGTAAGTTTTGTTCTAGATTGTGCATGTCTGACTGCTCAAAATCTGGCTTAGTTGGTGGACTCGATCGCATAACTTGTGCCCATAATTTCCATGTTACAAAACACCCTAACTATAAAACAATTATAAGAAGAAAGAAATGACCAAAGAGGTACAGGTTACGCTATAATTATTCACCAACACCACCAATTACTTTACAATCAGCTCATGCGATAACATTGCCCGACACTGACTAACGGTACTGACGTTCTACACCTAACTGGCAATCAGCTCTAGCGCATCTTGGATGCGCACTCCAACAGCCTTCCAGCTTCAAAGGTTCTAATTTATAGAAATACAGTAAGGAGGGGAAGGTGAGCGAAACCAAGACAAGCATGAGCTGAAAGTCTCAGCTCTGAAGGACGTTGGCGGATGTACATAATTATTATGTCGAGGAGGATACTGGGAAGACCATCAGACAAAACGGTCAAACCACAATTCAAGGACGCATAGCAACATACCACACAACTTTAAAAAAAAAAAAAAAGTAAATTATCGTATCCGTTCCCGAAGGGAACTCACGACGGCCGCTAACACCCGATAAACCCTAGCGGCAGATGCAGCGCCTAACGGTGGGGGTGAGTGGGTAAGTCTCACAACCACTGGCACAAGTGCCGAAAGCGACCCCATTAGCGACCCCATTAGCTGCATCCATGGCAGTGGCGGGTTTAGGGGGGGGGCGCGGGGGGCGCGCGCCCCCCCCCCCCCCCTCAAAAATTTCGACCTAGGTTTCGAAAAATAATACAGGGCGCGCGCCGGGTCGAGCTAGACTAGGCTCGGGGCGCGCGCGGCCTGAAACGATTGTCCAAAAGCGGTTGCACGGTGCGCGCATGCGGTGCTCGAGCTGGTGTTGATTGTACACACTACAGACTAGTACAGTACAGTCTACAGAGTAGAGTCTACGTACAGTGAGCATGCACGGCTACAGAAACACGGTGACCTGACTGTGTACTGTTGTACAGTGTGATCCCTGCTGGGACGCGCTCGACGCGTCTTCAACGGTACAAACATCGAAGAAAAGTCTTCGATCGAGTCAACCAAAACACGACTCGAATGCCGAGGGCTCAGGCGATCATCCTCGTTCGAATCGTGTTTTGGTTAACTCGAAGGCTTTTCTTCGATGTCTCAGGGACATCCCAAAAGGCCAAGCTCTAGCCAGCAGAGCCTGGAATTTTTGTAAAGCGTTCCTGTGGCGGCGCAACTCCTGCTGCCGCTCCAACAGGAAACAGTGGGAGTGATGAAGTCGCTGTTATTCCAGTTGAACTTTCGGAGCGGACTGACAGTCACACTCCACCAGACGTGGAAGAACCTGTTGTCAGCGAGCAGCCAGAACATGAAGAACAGCGCACAGTGACAAGTACCGCTGCCTATGTAAAGGATGCTTTGAGAGCGGTGAGAAATTGTTGGACTCGCATAAATAATTGCAGTTGATTCGCTCACATAACGGCAAATTTGAAGTTTACAATGTACATTGTTGCTGCGAGTACAGAAATACTGCTCGTGGTGTGTGAGATTTACGGCTTGTTGTTGTTGTTGTTGTTGTTTATTTTACTTCACCAAATGCACAGGCAGAGATGCCTTCTCACCTGCCCATAGGACAGGTTCTCACAGAATGATATGCAAGGGAAAACAAGAAATGATAATAATAATATAAGACAGAAAGGACCAAAAGAAGAAAGGGAAAAATTTATATGAAGAACAATTTCATGGAGTCAGAAATAGAAAGACAATAATTTCATGGAGTCAAAGAATAGAAAGACAATCTCATGGAGTCAGGAACACGTGGTTGATTTTATAGACATGCATGCACAAATGATTGATAGATGAGAAGGTTGGAATTTATGGCAGATAATAAAAGTTTAACGAGGATATTCACAAAGTAAGTATAGCAATGGGAGAAAGAGTTTTTCGGAAGGGACCAGGGACACGTATCACTCTAAAATCAGAGGGGAGAGCGTTCCAGAGAATGCTTCCCCAAAACATCATGCTGGATCGTCCCTCAGGCCCACGAAGAAAGGGAACTTGAAGCAAGGTCGACACTTGTCCCCATGTGGTGCGCTGATCCTCCGGAACTGTCTCTGGCCCTGGGGCCGTTCGGGTGAATAACTGTTGAAGAAGGGGGCTACAGGAGGAGCTTCCTGACATCGGTTTTCAAAATGGCTGACCTGGGACAGTAGCATGATGTCATCTACCCCCACCCCATCCCGCCTTGATCCCGGCCGCAACCCCCCCCCCCCCCCCTCAGCCAAATCCTGGACACGCCACTGCCATGTACCTCCATGTACCCCTTGTGCCTGGCCACAAGTTCCCAGTTGACTGTGGGTAGCAGCACGGCTGGAAAAACCGCTCCCAGGCAGGACTTGAACCAGGTACCTCTCGTATCTCAATCATGGTCTTTGACCAACCCACTGTGCCACACAACTTGAGCTGCTCTAAAGATTCGAAGATGAAGAAGATAGATGGTAAAGTAACTGGTGGTGTTAGTGGATAATTATAGCGTAGTAAACTAGTTAGTCTTGTAGCTCTTTGGTCCTTTCTTCTTCTTCTTATAAATTGATCATTGGCTATCCACCTGAGCCTAACTATAAAACAATAAGAGGACGAAAAATTGTTTTTACTCCGAGTTTCATGCACTAAGCGATCATCAGAAAATTGTTTTCTGATGATCGCCTAGTGCGTGAAACTCGGAGCAAAAACATGTTTTCCCCGTCCTATTTTTGAACTAGCTCTGCCTCTCCGCATTGAGCACTCTCTTGGACAACCTGGAACCTTTCCGCTTTACCTAACTATACTTATAATAAAGAAGATGTTGGTGCGTCTTCGGCGATACTTGGGGAATTGTGTGTTGCTCTCTACATGGGAACTCGCGCTTTTCCTGCCGAATTGAATTCTCACTTGACTGACTCACGACTGCCATCCAGAGCACACGAAGTCCATCGAACCGTCCACTCGGCAAACCTGCAAGAACGCACCACTCTCTGCTCAATACACTGTGTTTCAGGGATACAAGCTTACAGAGACGCTCCGTTTCCAGCGCGACAAACACCTCGTGAAACCCGATAGCAGCGTGAGTCAGTGTGGCTCATGAAGGTGCTGAGCAAGCGCTGAGGACCGTTGACCATTCACAACGTTGTTGCCTCCAAACCATCTAATTCGCAAGCCTTAATATATAATTATAGTACCCGTCTCAAGTCTCGCTTGTTTGTTTGTTTGTATACTTTATTTCATTGGACTTGTACTGCCACGAGCCTTCCCTCGATTTGGTTATTCTTCTCTTTCTTATTGTAGCCTCTGACCGCTGGAATTCAGTTCCGGCATCGGTCCGCCTTGCTGCTTCGCCTTGCTGCTTCACCAAGTCAATTTCAGCAAGTCAATTGCGTATCGCAATCCTAGATTGGCTAGCGTACCCCGTACGGAGACCATAGGTCTGTGGGAACTGCCCTAGAGGAATATGAATAACTACATGTAGATAATACCTTCGCAATGCAATCCGGTTTTCGAAACCAGAATATTTAAGTTGTACTACAAAATTAATACAGAGCAGCGGATTGAGAGACTGGATCCTTTTGAAATTTTTACAAATACAAATACTCGATGATCTCATTGAGCCTATGCTAGGGAATGAGTTCATTGTTGCCTCCCTGGGGCAATGCTGGAGTGCTTTTCTTTCTTTGCATCATCATTTTATGGGGTCAATAAAAACACGCTTCCAAGCGGATTGAGGCAAATACAGTACAATGTAGTACTACAAAAAGCAGTGTTAATTGGCATATTGCCTTTGGGTCATTTCATAATAATAATAATAATTAACGTTGGTTTGCGAAGGTGCTCGACTTACGAAGAGTGGTATGTGACAGGTTCACGAGCCGGGCGGTAAACAGTGGTTGCTATTTACAGTCAGAATACAGATCCGTTGACTCCCGAGCTGCAGAGAGTGCTCAATGCCAAGGACAGAGCTTAGAACCTATCAGACTCAACTGAGGACGTCCAGCTTTCTTCTTTTCTTGAAATAAATTAGACAAATTGTACAAATAATTAACTCTGAGCTTCATGCCGCTAGGAAGACAAGTGATACTGGGGATCTGCCCAGCAGTACGTTTGTATACCCATAGAGCCACCGGCATAAACAAATTTAGCGCTATGTACAGGTGGGCGCTAAGTCTGGTAGCGCAAGGTAGTGGGAGAGAGCTAGCGCGGGCCAAGGCGCTAGGACTCAGTAGGAGTGAGGGACAGTGTCAGCAGGGTGGCGGGCAACAGGCGGGTGTAAGCATTAAAGCACGAACAGAGGCGTTGGGGAGGCATTGAAGAGCATGTAATGCAGATGGGTGGAGGTGCCAGGACTCAGGAGGATGGCGGGAAACAGGCCAGTGAGATCGCTAGAGGGTCTTTGGGTGACGGGCGGGCGTGTGCAGAGAGGTGTAGTCAATAACAGGGGTTGCGTTATTGGTATATTGGGATGCTCAGGCAAATGTGCAGTACAATACTTGATCAGTTCATATTGTGTGTTCCTCCCTACGTGGAAACTCGCGCTTTTCCAGGCGACTTGAATTCTCACTTGACTGACTTAGCACTGCCATCCAGAGCACACGAGAAGTCCATCGAACCTTCCACTCGGGAAGCCTGCAAGAAAGCACCACTCCATGCTCAATACACGGTGTTTCGGGGAATTCACCCTCGTCAGTTGAGCTTGAGTAGGCTGAGGAAGATTGTGTCTGAAGAGCACCACATAGTGCTCTCCAGACACAAACATCACCAGGGATACAAACTTACATAGACACTCCGTTTCCAGCACGACAAACGCCTGGTGAACACCAGATCGCAGCGTGGTCAGTGTCGCTCATGGAGGTGCAGAACAAATTGCTGAGGACCGTTGGCCATTCACAACGTTGTTGCCTCCAAACCATGTACCGGGGACTACAAAGTGAAAAAGAGGTTGGTGCGACTTCGGCGATAGTTGGGGAAGTGTGTGTTGCTCCCTAGGTGGGAGCTCGCGCTTTTCCTGCCGACGTGAATTCTCACTTGACTGAAACACGACTTCCACCCAGAGCACACGAGCGGTCCATCGAAAGCCCGAGCTCCCACGTAGGGAGCAACACACAATTCCCCACATATCGCCGAAGTCGCACCAACCTCTAGTTCATGCATTTTGAGATCATCTCAGACCGCTTGTTGAGCAGGAGCTTCTTCGGTATCATCAGGATGTGGAATTTTTCTGCAATACCTACAGTGTACTTCAGTATTATGTTAAAGTAGTATTTCTTTGACTGCCATCTGTACGACCGTCTCTTCTCCCACACCTTCCATGTGATAGTCAACGGCTTTCCTTCGCTCTTTAGCTCCCATAATATGTGTTTGGCTAGCTCAGTACTGTTTTTTTGTACTTTTCATGACGCGTCACGCACGGAGGTGAGGTGGTTGGCGTTTTGGGCTTTGAAGGGTGTCTCTGACTGAGAGACCGATGTAGATCTTGATCCTAGATTCGCAGTACGTGTAACTTACTTCAGCCGGAGAGATCCAGAAGAACTTCACAGGGAATCGATAAAGCCTCTTGTACGGGCAAAGCAAACGTGCTTACATATGACACAAAATCTCAATGCAAAAAAAATGATCAAAACGCCAAGAATCTGAAGAAAAGGGCTCAATTCAATCCTGTGTTGCCATAACGGGAACTGAAACCCAACACAAACCTAAGAAGATGGCACGTACAGACAGTTGGCGGTCACGCGGCAACAAAAATCACCAAACGTAAGCACTAACAATGTTGAAACATGGTTGCAGGATACAAACTACATAACAAGTAAGCAAGCAACGCATACAAAGAAACAATCAAGATTAACACAGTTAATATCGACTCCCAGAGGCTTCGAGAAAGATATCGTCCGCAAACTCTTGATGGACGACGGGACGTGGGATCCAATGGTGGATGTCGCGAATATACAGGGTGAAGAGCAGTGGGCCGGTAACGTATCCCTGTGGCACGTCTTGACTGCACTGTGTGTAGCTTTGTCATACTTCCGCCAATAGAAGCCAATAACTACACGCTGGTACCAGTCGCTGAGGTAACTAGCAAGCCAGGACTTTGCAGTGCCTGTCACACCCATTTTCGAGAGCTCTTCAAGCAGCAATTTGTGCTTGACAGAGTCGAACGCTTTGGACGACAAATGCTACGCCTGTTTCTTTCCGCTCATACTTTGCTATTAACAGCGGTTTACCGCTAGGACAAGGGCGTCCTCAGTGCTGTGTCGCTTCCTGTATGCAAACTGCGAAGCAGGGAGGAGATCGTTTTCCAATATGTCTGACATGAGTTGGGCCTTCACTAGTTTCTCCAGTAGGGGTAAGCGGATCATGCCGGCATAATTGTTTGGCATAATCAGGTCCTTTTGAGAAGGAGCATAAAATGGCATCCTAAAAACAAGGGCAGATGCCCAATGAGGCTGTTATACACACCTGCTATTGAAGGCATAATTGAAGGCATAATTGAAGGCATAATCAGGTCCTTTTTGAGAAGGAGCATAAGATCATGGCATCCGAAAAACAAGGGCAGATGCCCAATGAGGCTGTTATATACGCACCTGCTATTGAAGGACCACACCAAGCGCTTCTTGTCGATTTGGAATAATATTTTAGCAGCCACGTTAGGACCAGTGTCTGCTCTAGGATTGTAGGACAGCCGGGTACACGTGTATCTGGCGCAACCATTTCAACCGGGTCGGAGCCGGGTACACATGTACCTGGCGCTGTCTCATTTAGAAAAGAGAGGACAGGAATTAGAAAATTACGAAAGAAGAAGAAGTATTTGACACATACAAGCCATGTAGTCAGTCCTTTCAAAGTTCGAAAGTGTAAAGTACCAAACAGGTGACCCGGTACTATACTTTCAACCGGGTCCAAGCGCCGCCAAACCGGGTGGATTACCCGGCTCACCCGGCGCTGGAGCAGACACTGAGGACATCTCCCAAAGTTTCAGCGCTTGCTTGTGAATTTGGTATTCCTCTTGCATATTATTGTCTTATACTTCCACAAAGCTCCCAGTCCACATCATGACAATGGTCTGAGTCCTTCATGACGATTACCTGTTCTTTTGGTGAAACATATATCAGCCTAATTGGCTGTTTTCTCGAGCATCCGGAAGGGCAAAATTTTGGGCATTTCCCGCTTACCCCTATTCTCCAGTAGATGTAGGATTGGAGACCAAATGACTGTATACTCCTAGTGTCTGGAGATAATGTGGATTTTTGTAGAAAAAATACTGAGAATTTGCTACCACGAAACTTGCGCACGCGCTCCCGACTCCAACACACCCGCATGATCACTAACATCATCGCCATGATCACTCAGCTCACCTTCTCCTCGAATCACCACTCCCTCCCTCCATCGTCCGCTCCGGTTTGACTCTCCTCCTCCCCCAATCACCTCGACCCGCTTCTCGCCACCACCATCACCTCCAGTCATTCTCCAATCAAGTGGACTCTGTATGTGCAAGTGTCAGCAGGAAGGTAGGAGCATTTGTGCATGCGAAACAGAACATTAGCATGTTTGGCAAACGCCTGTTCTATTTATCGATAATTCAGTCCACATTTTGAGGTCGGCAGCACCGCATACAAGTACATTCATTGTTTGTCACAAGCACTACTGTAAAAGCTATTATTCTAACGAGGCGCAGATAATTATACCGATTTCCCAAAAATGACTGGTTTACGTGTACCAAAGGTAACGATTCTCACTTATTCTCAACGCTCAATCAGACAGTATACATGTATCTATTTCTGTATAACGATTTCTATTTTATCGACAGATTTCTCCTCGTTAACTCGTTTGAGTTAGCACTTCGTTATATATAATATGGCTTTTACAGTACCGTATTATCTCGAGTAATATGAGCACGGTCCTTTATTTTTTCAATGTACCTCCGCCCCGTGCTAGTATTAATGGAGACGTTCCTTTATTGGAGACTGTTCCATTATTATTTCAACGTCATTTCAGGGGCATGTTGCCATGCCCAAGTCATGTCAGACACACACATAATTTCAGGGTTTTCTCGCCGGTACAGATAATGAATTTACACAGTGTGCTTATAATGGAGACTGAGCACTTTAGTTTTTGAATGCCTCCCCAAGGTGTTCTATTATTGGAGACGTGCTATTATTGGAGACTGTGCTTATATTAGAGATAATACGGTATAATCAAGCTTCTCACTGCCAGCCGTGTGGCACTAAAAAGAATACTTTCCTTGGACAGAATCGATTGATACACACAGTAAAATGTTAATAGTGGAGTAACGAGCGCTGATTGTATCCACGTACAGAGTACAGGTAGATCTACATGATAATTATCGATTGTACATCGCCGGTAGATCTACATCATGACTCCTTGCTGCACATGCATGGATCTGGAACGAATGGTAGTTGGTTACTTCCGCAAAATGTGAGGAGTCTGAGAACGGGTAGTAAAGTAATAGTTTAGCCTAAGTTTAGGCCTACATGCTAGCCAGAATCTCCTGGTGCTCGTGGGGAGGTACATAGTCATTCACGGACACGCCAGCCCGGCCCTGCAGGCATTGTTTGTGCGGTGTACCTGGTGTACCATTGGTGAATGGCAGTGGTGTACAGCTAGCTGTAGAGGAAGGACAACTCGGCTCCATCAGCCTTGGTCTCCAGCAAACAGCCGCAAAAGTCACGCAGGTCAACGATTGTATGTTGTGTTTTGTATATTATTTTTACTTGGGCATTCCCAACAGACCCTAAGCCAGCTAAGGTCTTCTTACAGGGTGCGATGGCCCTCGTCGCGCTGCTATGCTCTTTGGAACACACTGCCTGACACCGTTCGGCACGGACGGTATCTGCTTTCCACCAGGCTGCAGTTCCCTGCACCCGGACCCGGTGAAGGAGCGGGAGCTACATATACATGTACATGTCCCTATCACAGGTCCGCGACACGTCACACTACGTGTAGCACCATTCTCTTTTCATCAGTACTCTTCCTTTTCTCGAAAGTCTCTCTCAAGATCAGATAAGCATGATTGTATAATGATTGTGTCGTGCGATATTATTCACAGTTTTGGATGCAACTGTCGACCAATAAAATTGTTACTCCTTCCCCTCCTTTCGTTTATTCCCCTCTCACGACCCATTTTTTCACTTCCCTTTTCAATATTCGCTATCTTGTTACTGAGCATCTCGGCAGCGTCTCCGCTCGTTTGGTCCTGCGAATCCAAATAAAACAAACAAAACCGTTATTTTCTCAAAACGCGAAGCCTCCATTGTAGCCATCCACTACATGTACTGAGTCTGTATATCCATACATCTTCACGACACTCTCCACACCACACGGTCTCCATGGTCTCTGGGCTACACCAATCACTAAAAGAAATGGGAATACTAAATCATTCGAATCATACGAAAACAAAACCAAACAAAACAAAACAAAACTCCATGATGAAGAAAGACTGGTACATGGTCAATGCTGCTCGATGAAATCCGATCGGGTAAGTCAGGTTTCAAACGTGTTTGTTTGTGCCATGCACGATTAGCATGCAGTGTCTGCGGGTCTGGGACTAAGTAATGTGCAGCACCGGACGTGGCATTGACTCCCTTGATCGGATTTCATGATCAAGAAGAAAGCTGGGAACGACTTATGAAGTACCTACTTGAAGTCTTCGGATCGGGATCGGGAAGTAAAGAAAGGCCGTGGCATGTGAGGTGTTGCTTTTATCATGATCTGGTTGGTGTGGATATGCACGGACGGACAGTGTCAGTAGATCTACGCGCGCGCGGTAGTCGTTAGATCTAGGAAATAAGTAGGGCCTACACATTAGCCTGATTAGGGCAGACGATCCATGATCAACGTGATCACGGCTGGCATGCATTTTGCACCGTTACGGCGTTAGATACTACTTCAGTACTTGCTAGCATGCTGAAGCTCAAACTAACTACTTAGTCTTTCAAATAAAAAGGGAATGGAGGCCTCTAGCTCTAGATCTGGGATTTTGACCCGCGCACCGCTCGCTGTCGCGATGTCGGCGACACATCTCCGAGACGATATGTCGCCTCGCGGTAAAGTTCAGGTCATCGGGTCAAAGTCTGCGAAGGTTGTACAGTAAAGCTGGGGAATGTGCGTCGTTTTGAGCGAAGTTGAGGTCATTGGTGCATGTTGAGGTCAAAATCAGATAGGCGAAATGCCCAGAAGAGCTCTATTGCCTTCTGAGTTCTGTTGTTCCTCGGATAAAGTAGCATCAGTCGAAGCTAGCATGAGACGCAAGGGACCCATGTAAAAACGAAGTTGTGTTCAAGAAGGAAGGAGCGCGGACGGTTCTCCGCTTTGTCTCTAGTTCCTAACCACTGGGTGGCAATGGAGGAGCAAATATCTTCGTTTATAGCTGCTGAGTTGGAAGTCACCTCGAGTTGTTCGCCGAAGTCGAAGCGGAAAGGGAAGAGCGCCACCTCAACGAAAGCGTCCAAGCGCACGGCGAATGTCAGAAAGAAGCCACCTGCAATTCCGACCATTCCCTCGTCACGAACCAGAGGGCCCTCGACTACGAAGGCCAAAAAGAAGAAATCAGCAGGGAGAGGCGCTGGACATGGTACGTGGTAACTTTCTGATGGTGCGTGACTGTCGTTCTGCTTCTGGTGATTGCTGTTTCAAGTTTTATTTATAACGCCAAGGATCTAGGAAGAAGTAAGCGAGGCGTGAAAATAGGAAGCCGCTGTTCCCGCAAATGATTAATCTGCAATGATTTCAGGCGTGTAAACCTACAGTTCACGGCTCTTGCTCCAGGTTGTTCAGTACGGATGTTCGAGTCGTCGCTGTTCTAGTTCGACGATATTGCTTACGATATTTATAGCTTCGAGTCCAGAAGAAAAGCGATAATTTCACTGCCTTCTTAGCTTCGAATACCGCCATTTCAGCCCCTGTTCATAATTTGTTCGAGTTTACGAATCATGTGAAAGAGATGAAAGACCAGGAGGGGTTGAACTGCATCCGTCGACACAATGATCGCCCTTTAGAGTCGGGTCGTGTCGTAGAGAAGAGGAACCTGCCCTACTGGTTCAGGTGGTAGCAAAATCGGACATGTTGTTGTTTATTTTACATGCGCGCCCTCACACACTTGGGCAGCCGCGTCGATGGAGAAGCGGCGCACTACCCGTCCAGAGTAAGTTACTAAGCGACACGGAGATCTACGTGCTGCATCGTTTGCCAACACGAATACGGTAACTATTGATGTGTGCCTTCGTGGCGTCCAGCCGCGGAATGCATTGCTCCTGGCAGTCCTGCAGCACCAACTCAAGCAGTTTTTGATTGGTCTGACCATAATAATAGTCTTCAATGGCGGATACATTATGATCCCCTCGGCAGTAAGCACGGACAAAAAGTTGGTCCGGGGTTTCATGGCCTGACTAAGTAACCGGACCCAACTAACCAGACCCAACGGGTCCACCGCACCTGTAGATCTACTATGCAACAGACTAATTTTGTAACTGTATACTTTTTCAGTAGGTTCCCAACATTTCTGTACTTTCGTTGATACAACCTTACCAAAAATTGAATTCGGGTGTAGCTGGACAGTTTCATGACGAAATGTGTCTGCGAGCCATATCGGCCAAAATTCATGTTTCAAAAGGAACAGAGGAAAAACGCCTAGATATTTAGGAAATTGGAAGAGCCAACGGAAATCCCACATCGATTTTCGTATTTTGAATTTACAGTGAAACCTGTCGAAGGCGACTAAAGTGTGGTCTCTGTTACCAGGTGGTCTCCTTATCCAGGGTCATTTGACTGGAAATGGCACCCCTTGGTCCTGGTCGCAGTGGTCTTCTTAGACAGGTGGTCGCCTTGACAGGTTTTACTGTACATTCAAAGCTGCCAGTGGAACTAATAGCAACTCTAGCACGGAACTGGCAGCAACATTAGCCTTGCGGCTAGTGTTGCTGCAAGTATTCAAAGTACAGTCCACCTACCGCTATAGCAATACTCTCTAACCATTGGTAACGACTGTCAAGTGAGTGTCGCTCATATGTTGAACTGTGGAGCATGCTTGGTGAAACTGTCCAGTCTAGGAGTCAGAGTGAGGAGTGATCCGTCCGTGGCCTGCTTGTTTGAGTTTGGGCCATGTGTCTTGTACGTGCTCACCCTTGATTTGTTGTTGCGATCCGTCCGCGCCTAACGTTCTCTTTTATTACTGCTCGTCGTTTTTAGTAAAGATTTTTTGTCATTCTCCTTCTGCGCCATCACCAATATCTTTGATCGTGTTGTTGTGTGACGGGGCAAGGAGGGGAAAGTAACATGAATACACTTCTGTAAATCAATGACATTTCGTAAGCGAATAATATTCGCAAGCTGAGAAAAAGAACACATCGTAGTCATCTAACTTTCGTGGAGTGCCATTGATCGTGGGCTAGTATGTACATGCATGCAATACTGTAGTGTGAGTGTGACAACTTTTAGTAACCGTTTTAATTCCGTAAGCAGCGGGAGCCTTATTTTAAAGAAAATTGCAAAATTAAGGTAGCTCGGGCCTATATCGCGAAAAATATCGGAGGTCAAAAACCACTTTCTGTCCGATTTAGTTCAAATTTTCAGTGTTGAAGCATCTTGAGGGAAAGCTGATACTCCCGAAATTTCGCTAGTGTGTAATAAAACCTTCCCTATATCTAGGGCCTGTGAAAGCCACACCCATACATTCGCATTTATGTCACGAAATAAGAGAAAACCTACTTTTACAAACAGGAGGTTGCTTTTCATTTGTTTCTTTGAGGCAGGCTTGCACTAAACTATGATAAGAATTGAAATGCACCTATATTATAGGTGCATTTCAATTCTTTTTTTGGAATTCAGGACCACTATAATCACACAATGTTGACGGGAAATCCACTGGAATCAATTACAAGAGACGATCATTTCTTCGCATATTTCTGTAAACAAGTCCAATGACCTAACATCATGTTGACATACATGTAACTTTATGATACTGGCTTAGTGCGATGCAACTAGCAAGAAAAACTCAATCGTTTTCGGGCCAATTTTGTAAAATTTTAATTTTCAAAGCATTTTGGCACCATTTCGAATCGGGGTTCAGAATACCAGTTTCGTCTCCTCACACAGAAGCCTGTACTTTCAACCAGTGTATTTTTGCTGATAAAGCTACTCTGACATGTTCTGATACTACGGGAATCACTGACATGATTACATGAAGCAACAGATGAAGGTTGGAAGCGTTTTATGGTCACCAATGCAAACCTGTCTCTTTCTTAAGAACGCCTTGTTTGGGCTACTTCGAGGGGCCATAACCCCTCCAAGTGCCCAATTACATGCCCTAATATATTGATTTTCTCATTCTGGACACCCCTAGCATTGCACAAAAAGGTATCAAACTGGTGAATTTTCGGAAAAAGTATTTGGACATGAGCTACCTAAAACAATGACGACATAATTATAATGGATTTACAGAATCTATACCATGTGCATGGTGGTTACAATGTTGTTTCCAACCCTTATATGGGGGCAACTCTCTGGTGGTCACATTGCACTGTTTGCCAGCGCTTCCTATTATTTATTTTAGTATTAGCACCATGTCACGTGATGTGAAACTTTGCCTTCGCTGCACACTGTGTACCGGTATAGCGAAAGTGCAGGCAGTTGCACGCTGTTGAGGTAATTGACTTGTGTTCCTAAATTTCTCAATCCGCATGGCAACGGGAAGACGAAAAGGCTAAATGCGTGCAGTTGTGCACTTGCCTACGCCATGTTCTATGCCAGTATCCCGTTATGGACTGGCCAGCCTCTACTAATACCTCAGTAACTGTGTTCACTTTGCTTGGTTTCTGGCTAGGTGTCAAGACGAAACAGTCGCAGCCTAAAGCGGCAGCGGCCAAGGCAAAGAAAACAGTTGCAAGCCAGAGCACCACGCATGCAGCCGTCCAAAACGAGTCGGAGCACAGGGCGAGTGTGTCGTCCACGCCCAGCAACCAAGAGGACGAGAGACAAGGAAGTCTGATGTGCCTGGCAGCAGCTGCTGAAGCTGTGCACGACAGCCCCGAGATACTAGAGAAGCGGGCGAGGAAACACTCGGCAACTAGTTCTTCAATGCCCGTGTCGCAAGGTAACATTATTTATTTTGGTTTTTGTTCCATCCTGTTTTCTAGAGGAGGCATCACCCTTTGTGGTGCTGAATTTGTGAAACGCAAGGGCATTTTCGTGCACCAGCACATCTTTTCCAGGCGTCAGGGGCCCAGCCTCCCCGCCCATCCGACTCGCCACACACAACAGCGCAACTGAACTAAAAGTTCTACATAATATCTTGACAAGACGAAGACGGACAGACAAGAAGACCGGACACGACAAGGCAAAACTGATAACTAAAGAAAAGGACAAACATTGCGGCAGCATATAATGAGCATGCGCGCAAATAATGTTGCACGCGTGACAATGACGTAAGTGTTCGATGGTGTAGACATGTACAGAAGACTGCACATGCAACCAAAACAATGCAACAAAGTCAAGTCTAAACCACTACGAAATAAAACTAAAGAACAACATAAATAAGCCATGAAAAGTCTTTCACTCTAGACCCGTTGCGCAACGTACTCCCGCCAAAGACCTTTTCAAGGCTCAAGGAGGCTGCAAACTGTACTACATATAATCTATGCTGCACGCATAGATAATCTAAAACTCACAAACGGCAAAATAAATAATAACAAATGAACGATCAATAGGCCAACAGAAAATACAAACGGAAGTCAGCTTCCGAACTGTCACCAGGCACCAGCAAATCAAGGCAATAAACTACAGTCAACATCCGACCCATCACCAGGCCAGGCACAAACAAATAACCTACAGGGCCAACAATACATCCGACCTATCACCAGGCCAGGCACCAACACATCGAGTACAGATCAAACAAATCGAGCAAATCAAAACTACCAACTTGTACAACAAATCAAAGCGGGAGCACCTTCTAAACTCCTTCACACTCACGGCGGGTTATTTGTTCACGATGCGTTTTCCTTCGCACCCTCCATGTCCTTCTTGTCGTCGAGAGCAGCGCCCCGCAGGGTTCCTCCACTGTGGACGACTGTACCGTGGGTTATTTGATTTCGATGCGTTTTCCTTCGCACCGTCCTTGTCGTCGGATTCAAGCAGCTCCCTCGGAGGTCACACAATCCCAGGTACAAACTGCGGACAACGGCGCAGCTCCCTCGTTGGTCACTCGTCCACTCGTGCACGGTGCAAACTGCCTCCCAACGACGTAGACGTACAAATGGTTATTTGATTTCGATGCGTTTTCCTTCACACCGTCCTTGTCGTCGGACTAAAGCAGCTCCCTTGGAGGTCACACAATCCCAGGTACAAATTGCGGACAACGGCGCAGCTCCCTCGTTGGTCACTCGTCCACTCGTGCACGGTGCAAACTGCCTCCCAACGACGTAGACGTACAAATGGTTATTTGATTTCGATGCGTTTTCCTTCGCACCGTCCTTGTCGTCGGACTAAAGCAGCTCCCTCGGAGGTCACACAATCCCAGGTACAAACTGCGGACAACGGCGCAGCTCCCTCGTTGGTCACTCGTCCACGCATGCACGGTGCAAACTGCCTCCCAACGACGTAGACGTACTAATGGTTATTTGTTCTCGATGCGTTTTCCTTCGCACCGGAGTTCCTGCAAGTTCCTCGTCTTCCTGACAATCCTGGCGTGGTCGCCAATTTCGTGCACCAGCACATCTTCTCCAGGCGTCAGGGGCCCAGCCTCCCCGCCAAACCGACTCGCCACACACAACAGCGCAACTGAACTAAAAGTTCTACATAATATCTTGACAAGACGAAGACGGACAGACAAGAAGACCGGACACGACAAGGCAAAACTGATAACTAAAGAAAAGGACAAACATTGCGGCAGCATATAATGAGCATGTGCGCAAATAATGTTGCACGCGTGACAATGACGTAAGTGTTCCATGGTGTAGACATGTACAGAAGACTGCACATGCAACCAAAACAATGCAACAAAGTCAAGTCTAAACCACTACGAAATAAGACTAAAGAACAACATAAATAAGCCATGAAAAGTCTTTCACTCTAGACCCGTTGCGCAACAGGCATACCCTAACTGTGCTTATACCGAGGTGTAAATTTGATGGTGTGTGTGTGTGTGTGTGCGTGCGTGTGTGTGTGTGTGTGTGTGTGTGTGTGTGTGTGTGTGTGTGTGTGTGTGTGTGCATGTGTGTGTGCATGTGTGTGTCTGTCCCCCCCCCCCCCCCCCCCCACCATGGTGCAGTGGTATGTGCAGTCGATTTCCAATCGAGAGGTTGTGGGTTTTTAATTCCCGACGATTATGGTCACACACGTCTTTCTTCTCTTTCTCACTCTCCTAGCTCTTCTTTCATTCTCCTGGGTGGCTACCAACAGCCAGTGCATGCCGGAGTATGTGGTATGGTGTGTGTGCAGAAAAAATGAAAAATGAGAAAAATGACAAATGGAAAATGAAAAATAGGGATTCACTGGCCAGAAAAAGCTGCTTCAATAAGCTGTGTGGTGTAGACCTGGCTACAATTAGTGGCGATCAATTCATCAGCCTTGCAAGCTGTTGAATGCTGTAATCCCAGCACAAGTAGCTATGTCTAACATAGCTGTTCGCTATCATCACTTCCGCGATGGGCAGGTCTGAGGTGTGTGTTTGTGTGTGTGTGTGTGTGTGTGTGTGTGTGTGTGTGTGTGTGTGTGTGTGTGTGTGTGTGTGTGTGTGTGTGTGTGTGTGTGTGTGTGTGTGTGTGTGTGTGTGTGTGTGTGTGTGTGTGTGTGTGTGTGTGTGTGTGTGTGTGTGTGTGTGTGTGTGTGTGTGTGTGTGTGTGTGTGTGTGTGTGTGTGTGTGTGTGTGTGTGTGTGTGTGTGTGTGTGTGTGTGTGTGTGTGTGTGTGTGTGTGTGTGTGTGTGTGTGTGTGTGTGTGTGTGTGTGTGTGTGTGTGTGTGTGTGTGTGTGTGTGTGTGTGTGTGTGTGTGTGTGTGTGTGTGTGTGTGTGTGTGTGTGTGTGTGTGTGTGTGTGTGTGTGTGTGTGTGTGTGTGTGTGTGTGTGTGTGGGTGTGTGTGTGTGTGTGTGTGTGTGTGTGTGTGTGCCACTTCATAGCTGTGTGGTGTAGACCAGGCTGAATAGTGGCGGTCAATTCTTCAGCCTTGCAAGCTGTTGAATGGTGCAATCCCAGCACAAGCTGCTATCGCTTCTGCTGTAGCATCGCTATCATCGCTTCTGCTGTAGCATCGCTATCATCGCCTCCAGTGATGGGCGTCCGATGGTGTGTGTGTGTGTGTGTGTGTGTGTGTGTGTACGTGTGTGTGTGTGTGTACGTATGTGTAAATGGGTAGAGGAAGCTTAGCTCACCCCATGCCCGGTACGTTTTTCTGTAGGCCGTGTGCACTGTAACTGTGCAAATACACTTGCACTCACTGAATTCCGACCGAAAGTGCAAAACGAGCGTCCTGAACCAGTTCCGATTGCATCATTGTGCATGCACATGTGTACATGTACGTCCAGTCGCATTCGTACCGCTTCAAGGGCGCCAAGGGCCGTGCAAGTTGAGGGAGCTAAATATGCACGTTGGATTGGATTTCATCCATCACAGCTGCACGCTGACTGGGTTGTGTGCTCGGAGTTTGTAAGGTATCAGCTAGTACAGTTCTGCTCAATGAAATCCGATCAAGCGAGTCAATGCCAAGCCGGTCAGCGCTGTGCAACCACTGACCTGAAAACATTGGGATGTGAAGTGGTGCAGGGCGCAACTCACGTTCATGCCATCGCATTTCACTGAGCAGGACTGTAGCTATCACCCCATTGCACCCCCAGCGTATCTTTCTCAGCATTTATGATCCTAGCCTGTGTTTTAAAACTCATAGACCATCGCCAAATACGAATTCTTCAGAAGACCGACAGAATGCTCAACGTTGTGCTGTTTAATGAACTACAACACACAATCTAAAACTTCAGGTGGATCTGAAATTATCGTGAAACGCTTGGCTCAATCTAGCCAGAATTTAGTGGTGGCCCAGGCGCGTGCCCCGTATGGGTTCCTGGGTGCCCGGAACCCCCCCCCCCCCCCTTTTCGCTCAATATGCAGGATTTTGCTTCATTTTTTGAAAATTTTCCCTGGGTGCCCCCCCGGAAACCCCCTTGAAGGGCACCGGCGCACGCGCCTGTGGCCGGACCAACTTTTCGTCCATTACCAGATGCTTACCGTAATTCCGCGCATATAAGCCCAGGGGCTATATTTGTTAGGGGGCACGAATTAACTAAAGTTTGTACCAAACTAATGTTGTTTTTCTGAACGTTCTGGGTGACAGACCTCGACCAAAACGAAATTTAGTACGTAACAAGCCTGCTGGTGGAGTGATCTAACGAAAGATTTTGTGAACGAAAATGTGTACTTATACAGTAGAACTACTCCTCCTGCACAATGGTGTTCGTTATATCAGGAGTCTACCGTATTCAGATCCTCCAGTTACTTGCGGAGCTGATCCTTCCAATGATATCAGGATGACAACCGACGTTAAGTGCATACGTAAACTGGCGTGGCACCTGTAACGGAATCTCAGCCATTCCGTTCCCCGGGACGCAGGACACAAAGGACAAGACTGGTTTGTTTTACATAATATATTTGGACATTACGGAAAGGTAGACTACTCTGACAGAGACGAACAAGAAGACTGACAAAAGGACTCTCGACTACAACATCGCGCATGCTCATATCACACATGCACGCGACTAGACGAGACAGTTTGGGGAATGCCATCACACAGGAAAACAACACATCATTTTACAACACCTGCCCCCTTGATGACATTCCACAAAATAATAAACCGACACCACGTTCCACATGCACAACAGCAAAAGGAACCACAGCAAAACGGAAAAACCAAAACCAACCAACAGCTTACATTGTAGCACAACAAAACTGGGCCACGACACAGGGCCAAACCAAGACACAAGAGCCGACGCTCTCAACCAAGCCGCACCACAGGGCCAAACCAAAAAACACAAGAGCCGACGCTCTAAACTCAGGCACACGAGAGCCAAAGCTCCAACAAAATAATATAACAATATGCGCGCAGCAGCGCAAAATAAATCTACAACGCAAATTAATGCAGAACAACAGAACGACGAGAAGAGCAACATACCGACAACCAAACTCAACAACACAGCAACGAACTGAACAGCGAGAGAAACATGATCAGACAATTAAGCGAGCAAGACAACAACAAGACGAACAACAAAGGACGACACACAGTCGGTGATGCCAGACTCATCCACTGGCCTCTGGCGAGCCACGGCCACACGCTCCATGCGGTACCTGCCGTCCCAGGCTCCAGTCCCCAGCTTCTGCCGGTCCACCACCTTCTCTGCCTCCTCTCCGCGTCTTCTTCCGCTTCCACCAGCTCCTCGTCTCTCCTCCATCCCCACGCTTACTCTCTAGTTGTACTATTACTTGTATTAGTTGTTGACGACGACGAACAGACTCATGACAAACTTACTCATCCTCTGCGTCCCGGGTTTCGGCACCACGTTGTAACGGAATCTCAGCCATTCCGTTCCCCGGGACGCAGGACACAAAGGACAAGACTGGTTTGTTTTACATAATATATTTGGACATTACGGAAAGGTAGACTACTCTGACAGAGACGAACAAGAAGACTGACAAAAGGACTCTCGACTACAACATCGCGCATGCTCATATCACACATGCACGCGACTAGACGAGACAGTTTGGGGAATGCCATCACACAGGAAAACAACACATCATTTGGCCCAGAATCTGCGAAAACCAGGCTTAGGGTGAAATTTCACAAAATGACTTTTTTCCCATTTTCAGCTTCTACTGGGCATGGGAGTTCAGGAAACAAAATATTACAGGTGTGGGTCGACTCATAGTGGTATTAAAAGTATCTCAAACACACCAGGGTATTGTGTTAAAAAATCCAAAAAACAAACAAAATTGTTATCACAGGAAAGAAATGAAGAGAGATCCACCAGAGTGAAGGAAGAGACATGGATGATTTTTGTTTAGGTGACATGACAAGGTAGGCATGTGGGGGCAGGCCTGTTGTGGCCTCTTGGTGCTGCAGGCTGTAGCCGCCATGCACAGTTCTGCATGTTTTGTTTGCTCCTCACTCAGCACATTCTGGGGCTGAATACATGTACTGGCATGCTCTGGCGCTACACACCACAAGGAAACCCGACTCCAGTCGAGATGGCACCTTTTGAAGGGTAAATCTAGTACAACTGTTCAGAAACCAGAAAGAACACGGCCTTTCAAACTGTTCCACTGTTCATAGTATGCGCATAGTGTGCTGGCGTGCTGCAGTGTCTGCTTGGTGCTGACCAGCAAGTGAAATCTCGCGATTATCTCGGCACGCCGTACAATCCCTGGCAGCTAGCTGTCCAGCGAGGAAAGTCTCGAGTGGAGGCCTCTCAATCTGCTCGCTCATTCGCCTGGCATTCAGTAGCACTTCATCGCCAAGGACTTCAATTCAAAACAGTTTTCACACTGCGCTTCAAGCCTTTTTCCTCGTGAACTTGCTGCAAACGTATGAGCTCTGCTGCGCGTGTTCCCTTTGCGTGAGGCCCAGAAACAGCTAGTATCTCCATACTTCGATTGGCTGGATCGATGTCGTCCAGGTTCTCCTCGCTATCGCCATCACGACTCTAACTGGAGACGATTTCTTCACCATTTTCCGCAAGCAGCAGCTAGCGCAGAAATTTCGCCATTCCTGAGTGAAGGAGATGGAATCCGTTCGATCAGCTCAAAAACTCTTCGCTGTGACTAGAGGAGTAGCAGGGAATATTCTACCGGAAGCCCTTTGACTTCCCTGACTGCTGAAACCCTTCCTGCCATGACTGCTACTTCTTCAAACAAGCGAGATTCTCTTTGGTTCCACTTCACTGCACTCGAGCGTCGACGCGACACAACCTTTTTACAAAACATCATTTTTCTCAAAAAAATGATTTTCACCCTAAGCCTGGTTTTCGCAGAAGTTGGGCCATTTTACAACACACCCATTCTGGTTGAAGAAGGTGGGGCTTTGATCAGAGATACGAAGTACATCCCAAATTCGTTGTCGTTCATGTGTGCGTGCTCATGTGTTTGTCTATGTGCGTATGCGTGCACGTATATGCGCTTGTGTGTTTGTGCTACTCAGGTGTTCAAGCTGGCATGGAAGCACTGAACTCGCACCCGACTGCACTGCACAAAAGCAGCATTCAGCAATTGCCGACCGGCATGCTGGGGCCGGCAACTCCCCCGAGCGGCAACACTGCAACGTTCACCGTGGCCCGACACCCGCACGCGAGCAGTGCTGCACACAGCTACGGCCACAGTGACTCTCCAACGCTGGCATTGCTACCCGGGGGGAATGAGCAAGGCCCGGCACAAGTGATGACCTGGTCACGGCAGACCATCGGGGGTAACACTGCTTACCTACCACAGTTCTCACAGCTAGTAACACAGCAGGCGGGTGTTCAGGGTGCGCTACCGCCGTTCTACCTGCCTCCGTTAGCCCACCATTATCAGCAGCAGAATCAGCATCAGCAACAACAGCAGCAGCATCAGCCACCACCACCAGCGCCAGCTGTAGAGCAGCAGTACGCAGTGCCGGTGGCTGCGTCCGTGCGCCCCAGTCCCCCAGCGCCGCACAGTACCACTCTGGGCGACAACCGCATACGTCCAGATTCAAACGGGCCGCCGCTACCTCCGAGTCATCCGTATCAATACTGTTCAGTGGAAAACCCAGTCTTACTCCAGACTAAGTCAACGGGAGATGCCACATCTAGTCCTGCAGCCATGCGCAAGGCCCCACAGACGTACCGACAGGAGCCAAGGGAGGCTGAGCAATTGCAGTGCGGCGAGAAATTTCTGCAGCGGCAGCCGTCCATAGCACCTCAACAGCCGGATGCGTATCCGGAGATGCCCTCCAATGTACCTGCTGTTGATTCACACAGGGGAGAGCTCTACCGGTGGCACACCGCACGACAACAGCAATACGCCATGATGCAAAGGGAACATGCTGTGGAGGTTTGGCAACGGCAAAACCAGCAGAGAATGTATCAACAGCAGGCGCAGCGAATAGCTCACCACCCACACCAGCAACAGCAGCATCTTCAGCAACAATGGCAGCAGCAACAACAGCAGCAATGGCAGCAGCAACAACTGCAGCAGTGGCAGCAGCATCAGCAGCAACAGCAACAGCAACAGCAGCAGCAGCAACAACAACAACAACAACAACAACAACAACAACAGCAGCAGCAGCAACAACATGAACAACAACAGCAGCAGCAACAGCAGCAGGTGGCTAATTCACGCCGTCCTCCCCCAACGAAACAACAGAAAAGCCGAGGGGGGCAGAGGATGGCTCCCCAAAAAGGGCTCACTGGAAGTCAGCGACTTCAGCGAATACAGAGGCAGCACGAGCAGAGAAAGTACTCCCCACTTCAGGCATGCAGACAATATCAACAGCAACATGTACATATACCTAGCCCCATAGGCCAGGAACACCGTTACTCACAAACAGGCACTGAGCAGCAGCAGCATCACCGTGACATTGACACCCCGGGACATGCAGGCAGCGTTGCGGTTGGGACAGCGCAGCCTCAAAGTGATTCACTGGCGCCGTCCACGTTGCAGGGAGCCCAGACACTACTGCAGCGGAGCCTCCGTGCGGATGTATCTCATGCTAGCCAAGAACAGTTCACAAGCCAGCCGGCGCACCTTCCCACCGCTGCAGCTCCGAGCGTGCCGGAGCAGCAACAGCCGACGGCGCAGGGCAAACTCCATGTGGTCGTCGATTCCTTCGGCCGGGCAGCCATCCTGAAGGGCAACGAGATCATTAGTACGTGCCACGCCAGCACCATCGGTGGCGCGATTCTGCGCCAGCCAACCACACAGGAGTATGCGCAGCGCTTCAACTTACTAAAACTGCAGACACAGCAGCAGCAACAGCAGCACCAGCAGCAACCCGTGCCTACTGCCATGCCTTCTCAACAAGGTGCCCAGACCGGAGTCAGCGAGGTCAGACAGGCTGTTGCCGTGCCACCGCTGGCCAACCTGGCGAAAGAAAGTCGGACCAAAGCTCGCCAAGCCAAGATCGGCAAAGCTACAAGGAAGGAGACACGTCGCCAGGCGCATGGCCAAGACCAGGCTGGGAAGGCTACAGCCTCTCACAAACACCTGACCAGGTTGCAGTTGGAGAAGAACCAAGCCCGCAACTCCAAACAACATACTAGTAGCTTCTACTACGATGTGAAGACGGATGCGGCGCGCAACCGCCTCGGCATGTCAGGAGGCTTCCCGGCAAACTCCAACCTGCGGGCAAGGAAGCTGGCAGCTGATGCAACAGAGAGTGAAGTGGTGCCGGTGCGAACACCTGAACAGCCCGACATGGCCTTACCCAGCACGTTAGTGTCCACACAGTTGCAGCAGCAGCAACAGCAACCGCATTGGCAGGAGCCATTACAGGACCGGGGCCAGCCGTTGCAGACGCAACAAGAAGAGCAACAGCAGATACAGCAGCGGTGGATGCCACAGCAGCAGCACGCGCAACGCAAGCAGCAGAAGCCAAAATCATGCCATCACCGAACACAACAGCAGGATTTGGGACAAGATGCAGAGTACGCGGCTGAACACGTTTTGTCTCCTCGGGATGATAAGCAAATCGGAAGTGGCGAAAGCAGCACCCTGAAGAAGCTTCTTGTGTCACCAGTAGATCCCACCACCCAGGCAGGAAGAAGACCGAACCATAAGAACATTGCAGCGGATAGTCTGTATAGCCATCCCATATATGGCTTGGCGAAAACTGACAGCGCTCCTGGGACCAGCTCAACTAGTGCTGTCAGTAGCACCGTCGGTGTAACTCAGGGAGAGGATGACAACGCTTCGCAGGAAATCGCTGGGCATCTTCAAGCCAGCCCTGGTGGTACGTCACAGACACAGCAGATCGAAGTTGAGTGTGCCGCCTACATGTCGGCATTTAACGGAGTACACCTGAGCTCCTATTCCGCTGCCCGAAGAGCAGATACGCCCACCACGATGGGCTGTGTCGCACGCGAAAATACGCCGAACTCCCCAGAGAAAGCCGAGACGCCAAGCCGCACGCCCAGTGGTCACGGTAAGGCATCAACGAAGCACTCTGAGCTTGATTGCAAAGCAGGCAAGCCCGGTGAGCCAAACGACGAAGCCAGCGACCAAACCGGAGCCCATCCACTGCTCACCGGAGAAAGAACTGATAACCCGCTGACATCGCCGGAAACAACTCCTGTGTCGAGATCACCAGCAAAGCAGCCAGAGTTTAGTGGTGCTGACACCAGCGATGACGACGACTTGGTTATCGATGTGGAGGCGATTTCCCCAACCGACACACTCCAGGTCGATCTTGTCAAGAGCCTCTGGGTGAAGACCGAGTCAGAGGAGATTGTTGAATGTTCGCCACGAGCTGTTGTACCGGCTGCACCAGAGCATGGTACTGATTCAGAAAGTGATCATTCTGGACTGCAAGCAGCCGGCGGCGATCAGCTTGCAGCGGGCGTCAGTGCCGGAAAGCCGCCATCCACGCCCCGGCCTGCGGACACTGCACTCTGGCTTTGTCCCAATCACCACTGCACTGCAGTGGCGAGCGGCCACACCAATTTAACGGCAGCAGCAGCAGCAATGGTGGCGGGGAGCATGCCCGCTGGTGGTCAGCCTACAGCAAACGTCATGACCCAGCCGCGTCCAAGCACAAGCCAACAAAGCAACACCAACTGTCAGGAGCAGCAGCAGCAGCAGCAAGTACAGGACACGCTCACGTCACCTCAGAGACGCGCGGTTGTTGGCCTGTCACCTACGATGCCAGCGGGATGGGACAGTCTCTCCCAGGCTAGCTCGGAGAGCAGCGAGCCAGCACACAGCAAGGAAGACGTGTCTCCGACTTCTGGCATCAAGACGGACACTGACAGCGATCACAACTACATTTCGTTCAAGCTGGGCTCTAATGGCAAATCATGTTTTCTACGTCGCCCATTCACGAGACCCAGGGCTGATCCGTTTCTGTCACCTCCATCCACTGCGCAAATAGTTCACATTGTGACACAGAAGAGGAAAGCTGGGGCTGAGGCTGGCTCAGAAGTGCAATCCGTTTCTGCCCCTGGTACGCGGTGCGGAGACGTTCCGGAACCGGGAGCTACTCCTGAGAGTCCTGAGCCAGCTAGTGCTGAGCAGTGTGACATGGAGACGGCCGTAGACGCGGGTCGGCCCTCGCCAGATGCAGCACCGCTTGAACTTGAAAGAACACCGGTAAGTGCTGCCTCGACCGAGGACAGTGTGAAGACGGATGCTGCAGGCGGTCTGTCTAATGCACAGACCGACTGTGGGAGTGCCAAGGACGTTCACGAGCCACCGCAACAACTTGCCGTAACTCCAGCCGCCCTTGAACGTGGTGGTCCCGACGGAGCCTCGCAGCCTTCACCGATACCACCCGTTGCTGCTGACGGAAACGGCGCTTCTACAGAAGACCTTCCAGCTTCTCGTAGCCACCCCGTTGCAGGGGATAGTCCAAAGAGTGAAGGGGATAGTTGTGAACTAGATGTATCGTCCACGGTGTCACCAGCCCCTGCCTACTCGCCTGCCGAAGGAGGGTCTGATCCTGCGGAGCTCGATGGCCAAACTGTTGCAGTTGACAGTTTCTGTGATGAAACGAGCAGTGAGCACTCGCCGCCAACACAGCCAGAGATGGAACGAATAGCTGATAACAAAGACGCCTGCCCTTTGAGCATTGCGCTGGGGGACACCAGTGTTCACAATACGCCCCCAACTACTTTGGGATCCCTCACTGCTTCTGCACAACAATCCTTCACCGAAGAGCAGGAGGACGATGAGGAACCCAATGCGCGAGCTGAGCGCACACAGGAGAATGCATTAGCAGCTTCTAGCAGCAGAGGAACACCACACAGGCGCTCAGAAGATTCCAAGACGACGTACAGTCCAGTTGACTATCGAAGCACAGATTCCTACCGAGTACAGCCAGGCTACGGATCCGCTGCGGCTTGGCCACTTGGTGACGACAGCGGCTGCGTGCACGACAGCAGTGCATTGTGTCAGCAGACTGATCCATGGCAAGGCGGAGTCGAGCAGCCCATGCCGTCAGCACCTGCTTCCAGCAGCACCAGCAGCAGCAGGGTAGGGCAGTACAATTGTTTAGCATCACCAGTCCAGGCAGGCCCTGCACAACTACAGTGGCCGTCTGGAAACTATACCCGAGTGTTTGGGCAGCCAGCCCCTGGCGGAGGGTTGCTTGCATCTCCAACGTATTCACCTACCACAGCCGGTATGCCGTTGCCGCCGATTTCAGCACTGCTCTATCATCGGTCCCCTCCACAACCAGCGCATCATCAACAGCCGCAGCAACCGCCGCCTTTCAGTCTCACCGAACCTGGCTTAGCGCATGGTACTGGCGTGGAACGGCAGGTGTGTTTTCCGAAGAGCAGCAGCAATGATCCGCTTCACATTGACACGGGGCCCGGTACTACAGCTGCCACTTCAGTCACTGCTGCCACTCCTGCTGCTGCTGCTGAGGATGATGGCAATTCTAGTGATGCTGACCAGCATCCTGCCAAGAGAGTCAGGCACAACGACTCGAGCCAAAGTGTGAATGCTGGCAACTTGACCCAGTGCCAAGGCGGTGCCCCAGCTGCTTACGGACGGCCGTTGGTTCGACGCCACTCCATGAATCCTCGCCTGCGACTGGTGAAGGCAAGCTTTGCACCGAGCAGTGCCAGCATTAGCAGCTGTAGCTCCAACAACAGCAGCTGCTCAAGTATCAACGCAACAACAGTAGCACGACTTAAAGCCGAGCCGAGGTGCTCAAACTCACCGACACCAGTCAAACAGAGGCAGCAGGAGCGGTCATCGCCCTCCGACACGGTCACAGGCGAGATGGTACAGCAAGAACGTACCATGCCGACTTTACGTGCATCTGCCGTCAACCAATGAAACGTGAACCAAAATGATGGCATCGTGACGATTGCAGCTGGCTATACAATGACTGTAGGCTACCGACTAATTTTGCAGAAGAACCGTCTACGCTGAATGGGATACTGTTTGGTGTATACACTCAAATTCAGTGGCCAAGACAGGAATACGTTAGCGCAAGGTCTCTGCCAAGCTGTAAACAAGAATGCGTTTTTTCTCTTCTGCAATGTGTGTGTGCGTCTGTTTGTGTGTGTGTGTGTGTGTGTGTGTGTGTGTGTGTGTGTGTGTGTGTGTGTGTGTGTGTGCATGTGTGTTTGCGCGCGTGCGCGTGTGTGCGTGCGCGTGTGGGTGTGCCAAGGCGAATCAGTTCACCTTGTATGTAGTGAACGAGAGTAATTGTGGTCTTTTCCACCCCAGCTGTCATGCCAATGTAGGACTGACTTGATTTTTCCTTGTGATATTCGCTGGCTGGCTTTGTCCTTGAGAAGCGATTTCATTTAAGTGTGCCTTGATGTATCCTTGACTTTTTGTTCTTGTTGATAGGCATTGCAGCTGCATTCAGCTTCTGCGTGCGTGCGTGTGTGTGTGCGTGCACGCGTGTGTGTGTGTGTATGTGTGTACGTGTGTGTGTGCGTGGCTCTGCTGTTTGTTTAAATTCCACATCCGCTTCCTTTCCGTTCTTTTTAGCTGACATGTACCTACTAACCCTCACATACTTCAAGTAACCATGGAAACTGCAATGCATTAAAGTGACATTCCGCATGCCGTAAATAATTAGCTCTTTTTTTCTTTTCCTGTTAGGTAGGCCCAGGTTTCGCCCCTTTGGTGATGCCGGTCCTTTTTTAAAACCCTTTCTGTAGCTCATGCAACTCACATTTTAACATGCCAACTTTCAAGAAAATATTATAGTGATGCTGGTGAAGCATAATGTGTGTTGCATAGGAAAGCCCATCTCGTTTGCTGCATGATGATTGATGACCAATTTGCATCCCTGCTTTGAGTGGTTGACTTTCAGGGTGTCACTGTGTGTGTGTGTGTGTGTGTGTGTGTGTGTGTGTGTGTGTGTGTGTGTGTGTGTGTGTATGTGTGTGTGTGTGTGTGTGTGTGTGTGCGTTGGCGGGATGTGGTTGTGGACGACTTCAACCGCATTCATCCACCTGTTCCGGAGAGGGAATGGCTCGACACTGCCCAGAACTGCTCGGAGTGGAGGGAGGTCATCCACCGTCGTCCTCAGCCTCGTGATGTCTCCGCCGAGCCAGAGTATCGTTGTGCTTGCGGGAAGACGTGTCGCCGCCCCGGCGATCTCAAGCGCCACGAACCTTTCTGCCAGTTGCCGCCGAATTAGTCCTTTCGCTATCATTGCCTACGGCAATGGGCAAGTTCAAGGTGTGTGTGCGTGTGTGTGTGACTCTGATTTAGCCACCCACACTAGTAGCAAGTATTACCTTCACTGGGGGCAGGGGTAACTGCAGTTGGATCCCGGGATGGATACGCTGATGCCGTCAATCCTTTTTCTGCACCTTGTCCTCACCCACTTACTGAGGTGTGGTGAGCCCATAAGTGGGATCATTTTCAAGTCCACCCAGAGTTTTGGGGATTTCAGGGGGTGTCGGCCGTTGGGCGGTTTAATAGCCAATTGAGTCATCTTTCCAAGATTCCTTTTGAGTCTCTCTCCCCTCTCCCGGGGAGACCCACGTGACCAGTTTTGGCAGTGAGCAACAAGTAAGTACAAGTGTGTGTGTGTGTGTGTGTGTGTGTGTGTGTGTGTTTGTGTATGTGTGTGTGTGTATGTATGTGTGTCACTGTATTGTAGGCGTTGCTGTGTGCGTGTATGTACCATACATGTACGGACATGTGTACTGTGCGCGTTCCTTGCGGGGTATGTTAGCGCATGTACTGCATGGAGGCATGTGTGAATGCATACGAGCGACACACTCGCGTGTGTGTGCGGCTGTGTGCAGGTCGCTCTAGAAAAGAAATTACCGGTAGATCTACCATGATCTACTGTCCCTGCTTTCCCAGCCAGGAAGTAACTTCAGTTGAGATCTACATACTCCGATCCCTGGGAGTGGTGAGTGTGAGTTCGCTAGTCTGAAAAGGTCGTCATCAGGCCACACAGGGAGTCGTAGCATACAATGACAGAATTATGTAGATGACCTGGTCCGCAGTTCGTCAAGCAGGGCGGGCTGACGTGCCCCTACCATTAGGCAGGCGGGTTGTGTTGACGTAAAAGAACATTATAAACAAACACACACACGCACACACATCTTCTACGTACATGATTGTATAAAATCCTCATCGCTGAAAGACTAAGTGATAGCCATGCTACAGCAGAAGCCATAGGCCCATACTACACCCAGCAACGACCGGTACGTTACTTGTGCTGGAATTGCACCATTCAAGTGACAGTTCATCAATTTCAACAGCTTGCAAGGCTGAATTCAGCCTGGCATCTACCACACAGCTACTTGAAGTGGCTTTTTCTGCCCAGTACGGTGAATCCCTACTTTCGGTCCTTTTTTGACAACGACGACTTTTTTCTTTTCCCGCACACACACACATCACACACACACACACACACACACACACACACACACACACACACATCACACCACATACTCCGGCGTGCACTGGATGTGTTGGTAACAACCCAGGGGAGTATGCAAAGAAAGTCAGGAGGAGTCATAACATTGGGCAGAACTGCCCGTTTGACATGCGATGTGAAATAAAACAACAACAACAACAACAACAACACCAACAACAACAACAACAACAACAACAACAACAACAACAACAACAACAACAACAACAACAACAACAACAACAACAACAACAACAACAACACACACACACACACACACACAAAGTGAAAGCGACTGACACTTGAGTTGATACTAATTAATTACATTGGCAATTATGTACATGTACATGTACATGTATGCGCAGGATTGTCGGCTGCATGGCATTCAGAATTCCATGCACACTAACTGTGCACAAGTAGTTACAGAACGATGAAGAAGAAAAGGAATGTACCGATACATAACTTCTGGTTCCATTGTAGATGGCCCTAGCGCGAGAAACAGCATGCAGCGCGTGGTATAATGCCGCAAGTATTATTTTCAGTGGTTGGGCCCGGCAACTCCAGTGGTGAAGAATGCATCTATGAACTCACTGTACCATAGCCATGATGCAGACTTGCACGCACTGTGCTGTAACTTTGTAAGTACTCATTGACGGGAATTCTTCGTCCCGGGCACCCGGGGGGGGGGGGGGGGGGGGGGGGAGGGCGTTCTATGGCAATGCTGCCGATGATCAACCATATTCTGGTGCGGCATTCCTTGCCTGGAGTCAGGAGGTACGACTCGTGTGCCGATCATTTAGCGGAGCATGACTGTGGACTGCAGTGACGTTTGATCATGACAATGGCTACCGGATGCAGGCCGGCGGTATGTGTATCGAAATAATGCCTTGAATCAAGTCGAACCAGCCTGCACATGCAGTGTAAGCACATCCGGAACTACGCAAAACCTGCGTAGCAGATGTACCTTGAAGTACCGGCACATCCACCGGTATTGTCGGCATTGCTCACACATTACTTGACACAAGAGTCACAACCCCTTCCTTACCAGGTGCTTTCCGGAGCTGAGTGGATTACTGTATTAAATTTACAGTCAACTTCGCGTATAACGACACTCGGCGGGCATCAGAAAAGTGTCCTTATTCGCGAAGTGTGTTTGTTACAAACCTTCATTGTCCTTTTATACTTTATTCTCCTTTTTAGTCGATATCATGTATTATTTTAAAGCAAATTTGCCTGTTTGTTCTTTGACTCTAAATAAACAAAAAAACAAACAAACAAAGTGTCCTTATACCCGAAGTCTCATGATATGTATTACAGTTGGATGAGACTTTGCTCTGGGCATGGAAATTCTGTCGTTATCCGCGAATTGTTGTTATATCCGCACTCCGCAGTCGTTATCCGCGAATTGTCGTTATATCCGCAGTCGTTATTAGCGAATTGTCGTTATATCCGCAGTCGTTATAAGCAAAGTTCACTGTACATGTAGAGCTACATGTACTACAGTAGTCAAGACCCGAGTGCTCCCTGTCTTTAGCGGCCGTATCCGCGCCTCCCATCCCCTGCTATACAGTAAGACCTGCCCTAACCGCCGTAGTAACCGGGCGCCCTTGCCCGTTTTGCAGCGGAAAACTGTCCTGATATGACGGGATTCCGCTTGATCCAGGGAGGCACGTTCGATCCACAGCACTTTGGTGCATGAAAAATTGTCCGGTCAATATTCTTTTCTGTCTTACTTTCTTTCCTTGTGTTTCTTATTGTTCCTTTTTAAAACCAACATTTCACGCTCACTTTGCGCACTTTCTCTCGCATCCATAACTATGTTACCAGTACATACATGTACACAAATAGGAGATCCCCCAGATAGGCGTTAGCCTTCGGGTAATCCTGAAATAAAGATTATTATTATCATTATTATTAATACAGGAATCCGCTTGGTACAGGGTCCAGCAAACAAAGGTTTTACTGTAGTTCAATCTGAGGAGTGCCGATGCGCTGTTTTCTAAAGTGTTTTCATCAAGCAGATTGCAACTTATAACCTTGCTGACCAAAGAGATGACATAGGTAAATCAAAACACTGACGATTTCACTCATCATTCTGTGCTTGCGACGCATACATGTACATGTACATGACGTATTCGACATGTAGCTAGCCATTGGCGGACTATGCTCGGCCAATCGTCAAATTATGCTTTTGATTATGCCACAATTATGCCAACAAATGCTGAATTATGCTGAATTATGCTCGGTTCCACTATGTATTCACGCTGTACATAGAGGATTGAGAAGCCACGCATACACACACGGCCATGCCCTAAGCATAATTTTTGTCTAAACCGAAAGATTATGCCGACCTTACACGTTGGAATCCGTATAATATTATTATGCCGGAGCATAATTTTTTGACGAAATCCCAAGATTATGCCAAATATTATGCCGGCATCATCCGCCAAGGCAAGATTGGCGGGTGAACATCAGAGTACATGTACATGTGTCACAATAATGTCATAAAAGAACGATTTCCGCGACTCGATCGCATTTCGGTACGGATGTCCTCTCTAGCTCTGCTCGACACTCCGTCAAGGTGCACGTGTGGAAAGATTTTTTTATTTTTTTATTATTTTTTATTATTTTATTTATTTTTTATTTTTATTTTTTATTTTTTATTTTCTTCCTCTATCACATGTATCATCTTTCCGTTTTTCCTTCCTCTATATAAATGTACCCCCCCCCCCTCCCCTCCCCCTGTGCCTACTCCTCCCCAGTTTTTGGTGCTCTGAAGTGTCGCTGAAGCCGAGACCTCAGGTCGGCGGAGATGCTCCAGTTTTCACCACCACAGTTGCGTCTGCAACCACCTCTACCATGCAGTATTCTGTTCTCGAGGTTCGTGGTTTCTCGTAAAAAAAAAGAAAAAAAAAAAAGAAAAAAAAGAAACCCCGTTTACATGGTTTAGTTACGGCAATGCATGCCGTGCCGTAGTGATAGATCTAAGATCTCACGCTACCATTACAGGCAAGTGTGTAGTTGTGCAGGATCTACCGACGGTGAAGACAGCTTCGCTACTTTTTACACACTGAATCGCTACCGGCGCGGTGCCGTGCCTGCCAACAGTCCAAACAAAAAAACAAAAAAATTCACGGTTCGCGTGAGACTCGGCCAAAGGCCCAGTTTTCCGCATCCGCAGGAACGCCACCACCCTCTTCGATCAAGGCGCAGATGCAGCTCCTAAGCGGTGGGAGGTGAGTAGATCAGACCCACCACAAAGTGGTCAAAGACCGAAATCCCATTCACTGCATCCATGTTTCCCTCGTGCCAGTCAAAAGTCCAAACAAAGTCCACCGGAAATACGTCCTCGCCACAGGCACAGGCTACCTTCTGTAACAGTTCCAACTCTAATACTGTAAAACCTGGTGTAAGTGACCTCTGGGTTTAGCGACCACC